TAAAATGTGGATATTAATAGCTTCTACCTCATATTGTTACTATGAAAACTAGGTGAATTAATATATGTAAAGCTCATAGAATAGTTCCTGGAACATATATACATGTTATAACTTGTGCTGCAATTATTAAACTGAAATATAAAATAAATAAAATGTTTGTATATCTCTACTCACAAAAATATTTCTAGTCCCATGGTAAAAATTATTAGACTTGAATTATTACTATTTCGAATTATACATTATTATTATTTTGAATTATACATTTAGAAAGTTGTGATTTGCTGGGCGTGGTGGACTGAGGCAGGAGGATCATGAGTTCAAAGCCAGCCTCAACAATTTAGCGAGACCCTAAGAAACTTAGGGAGACCTTGTCTCTAAATAAAAGAAAAGTGGGTTTGTGATGTGGCTCAATGTTTAAGCACCCCAGGGTTCAATGCCTGGTACCAGAAAAAAAAAAAAAAAAAACAGACTTGGGCAAAGTAATTTAATCATTCTATGACTCACCAACCTCCCTGAAGGTGAGTAGGTTTGGGGCTCATTTTTACTTTTCTTTCTGGTTTCAGCATTCCATGATTGAAATAAACTTCAATCAGAAATCTGTAATCATTAGGGTAACTGATCTTAATTATGATTAATGCTACAGTTGTAAAAGTTTTTGCATCAAAATTCTCTTTGTAAAGCCAGACTATCTGATTCTCAATTGCATATTTCATATAATTTTAATTGATTTTAAATTATGTTTGTAATTTTTAAAGACCATGTGTTTTGTTTTTGGAAAACAGTGATATTAAAGTTTTTTTCAACTTGGCAACAAATAATTTTCTCATATAATTTAAAATGAAAACCTTTGTTTAAAAAGGGTACTTTAAAAAGGTATAGGAGATTAGCAGAGTAGCTAAAGGGGAATGAAAGGATGAGAGAGGTGATGGGAAAAGGAAAGACAGTGGAATAAATGTAACACAAATTTCCTACATAAATATATGAATATATCACAGTGAGTCTCAGTATCATGTACATCCACAAGAAATTAATTAAAAAAGAACTCTGGGTAAATGGCAGTAAGATCAATAGAGTAGGGAAAGTAGAGTAGGGGAGTAAGAACAGTAGAGGAAGGGAAGGAAAGATACTAGGTACTGAATTAGAACAAGATATATTCCATGCTTTTGTAATGGTCATAATGCATCCTATTGTCATGTATAAAAAAGAGTAATTTAATGATTATTTTCCAACTGCAATGTATTTTTGACAATATTTTCCTAACAAACTTTCCATTTAAAACTTTATAACTTTTGATAACATTTTCAAAAAGTATATATCCCACTGACATTTTCATTCAGATATTATTATTTTTTATTTCCAAATGCTTATGTTGACCAACATGTTATTTTGATGCAATAGGAAACATTGACTCATTGGAAGGTTTTATTTGATAATTACATGTTTAAAAAACAAGTTAGGGAAAATAAGGCGTTTTAATAGCATGATTCTAAAACTTCTCAATTCTGTGTCATCCATCACTGTGTTGAAAATATTAAAGCAAATGAATCTCACAAAATAAGTGATTTTTGAAGTAGTATTGGCAACTAAAATATGTAAGTTATGTCTTCAATATTTTGTACTGAAAATTAAAAAAATTTAACTTCTCTAAAGTTGATCACTTTAAAATTAAAAAATAACACTACAACATTGCACCTTTAAAATTTTTCACTAATTTCATCTGCTAATTTTCAAGAGGAACTGTTAAAGTGAGTCAGATTTGACATAAGCAATGTTTCTTAATCTCTTTCTAAAATTTCAGAATAAAAGTTTTTTAAAACAACCATGGCCAAATATATTATCTATCCAACCAGTATTTTTTGATTATTTTTTTTTAGTTATAGAGGGACACAATACCTTTATTTTATTTTATTTTATGTGGTGCCAGGGATTGAACCCAGTGCCTCATGCATGCTAAGAAGATCTCTATCACTGAGCCACAACCCAGGCCCCAGGCAAACAGTGTTTTTATAGATTACGTTTTTAAAAACATTTTTAGATTTAAATAGACACAATACCTTTATTTATTTATATATTTATCTATCTATTTATTTATTTATTTATGTGTAGTGCTGAGGATTGAACCCAATACCTGACATTAGCTAGACATGTGCTCTACCACTGAGCTACAACCCCACCCAGGATTACTTTCACATTTTTAAAGTATTGAAAAATAAATAAAACTATTTTGGAAAACGTTATATGCAATAACCAAAACAAAACAACCACAAAAATTAAAAACAATTATCGCTATTTGTTACCTATTGAAATTTATAGGTTCTAAACTCTGAGGTGTACCATTTGAGGTCCTAATTATCTGCTTCCAACAAACGCCTTTCTCTTAAATTCATTACATATGACCTCTCCTCTTCAGTCAAGCCAGCACCTATTCTCTAGCCATTACTTTTTCCACATCTTCTTTGGTCATCCAAGGTCATCATCTGCTTCAGAGCAATTCAGAATTGATTTCCTCTAAAAGACTTTCAGAGATTAACATCACATGGAATTATTGGAATAAACCTAAAAGTAAAGGTAATGTTAAATATAAATCTATAAGGGACTATAGTTAAAATAAGACATTTAAGGTGAAGGCAGTCAGCAAAGATTTGGAGAAAATTGTTTTTTCTAATTTAAATTTGGAAACAGAATCTCATTAATAGTTATTATGCATCATGTGCATTCATATAGAACATCCTCTTACTCATCTATTCTTTCTTTCCCCCCCCCATGAAAAAAGTGCACAGAACATCATTTTGATCTGAATGAACTTAATTTCTTTGTGTACAAAAATTACCTTGTTTTTATTTGGCTTTGCTATATTAACAATAAACCAGTACTAAGAAGACAAGGACTGTTCCTTCTAATTTTTTTTGTAATTCCCCTTGATTATCTGTAGTTCTCTTTCAAGTGAACATGCTATAAATGTCAAGTCTGTAAAATGCTGTGTGCATATTTGGTAGCAATAAAGAAAAAAAACTGAAATCAAGGTGCCAAAAATTGAGCTACAAACTCTTTCAATAATGGCAGTTTGTGGGGCTGGATTTGTGGCTTAGTGGTAGAGCACTTGCCTAGCATGTGTGAGGCACTGGGTTTCATTCTCAGCATGGCATATAAATAAATGAACAAAATAAAGGTCCATCAACATCTTAAAAAACTAATGGCAGTTGTAAATTTGAACCATTTCTAATTATAGTAAAATGGGATGAATTATGCTCCAACTACTTGTAGGGGTCTTGAGTAATTTGAGGAGGACGTGACCCACTAGGGTAAACTGGGAGGAACACAGGACTAGTAAGAGAGTTATGGAAGAAAGAATGAGAGTACTGAGAAGAGGGAAGGAATGACTGAGAGGTAAAGAATGATTCTGAGCATTTGGGAGGGACTAAGAGAAAGAATAAATTTTTATATAATATAGACAGGTCAAGGAGTGATAGAAATTTCAGTGGGAGTATTTCAGGTAACAAAGATGGAAAACTTAAGGATTGTGTAGAGACTTTAAAGAATTATAGACACTCAAAACCAAAGGAGGTATTTGGGGAAACTAATGGAAATGAGCATGACTTCAGTGAATGAAGACCTGAGGACTGAAAGGAACCAGGAGAGGGTGGGGAGATTTGTTGGATATGGCGGTTCTGGGCACCAGAAATGTGGATTTGAATGATGGGATTAAGGGGCAATAATGGAGTGAATAATGAAAAAAAAGACATATAAAATAAAGATGGTTACTTAAATCTTTTCTTTCTTAAATACAATTAGAAATGCCTGAAAAATTTAATGTTGAATAAATCTATTAAAATGTTTCTTCTTTCAGCAATGCCAGGGTCAGAGAAATATCCTTTTTTTTCTAGCTCCATGGATAGATGAAACTCAGAATACTTATTTGTGACAATATATTATTCAAAAATACATTGTATCATATCAGGGATATTGGAACAAGGTTATGGGGGTGCACTTGGCACAATAATCACAAATGTACATGATTGGGGGGAAAATTAAAATCTCCATGGAGCTGAACATGGTGTCGCATGCCTATAATCCCAGCAGCTCAGGAGGCTGAGGCAGGAGGTTCATGAGTTCAAAGCCATTCTCAGCAAAAGCAAGGTGCTAAGCAACTCAGTGAGACCCTGTCTCTAAACAAAATACAAAATAGGGCTGGAGATGTGGCTCAGTGGTTGAGTGCCTCTGAGTTCAATAACTGGGACCAAAATATTTATAATAATAAATAAAATCTCCTTGAGAGATGTACTGAACATTATTCCCAAAATTTATTAGATACAACAAAATTCTGAATATCTTTCATTCATTTATATATGAAGATTTAGGGGAGATGTACTAAAACTTATTTAACCAACTCATCCTCCTGTCAGAAAAATAAAGTTCTTATTTTTATTCATTAGAACACCCTCACTTGTTAGTTTAGAATATATTTGTTGAGTACATTTTATAAGTCAAGCATTGGAAATGGGAAGAATGGTCCCTCTACTCTGGGTGTTAATAATCCGCAGAAGTATTTTTTCCCAAAATAAGCATTTCCCTGATTTATCAATACATGAATAACTAATGATTCTAATCATATCTCAGCATGACCCAGAAAGACTTTGTATATTCCTTGTTTACAATTAGTAGGATTCTGGTGTTGTCTTATCTCATAATTAATTCTTTAGGAATTGACAATTCATTTATGATACATGTAGTCATTCAGGCCAAAGGAGCGTTATCATAATTTGTGGGATTTCTGTTGTTGTTTTGCATCTCCACACATTATATCAACCAGCATAATGGAATAAAGACTTCCCTTTCTTCTAACCCAGTCTCACTCACTATTAACATTTTAACCTTGAAGTAAATCTTATAACACAAGGAAAAGTTCAACCACAAAAATTGGAGTTCAGATAAAGTTAGTACTCCTGAAAATAACCAGAAGAAAGCATACTTATATGATATTTAACATATATAAAACTCACCTTGAAATATCTGAATTAAAACCCACTTTCGTATAGTCGCCATAGTGCTCTGCAATCAGCTGTGGGTGGAGGATAAAAAGAGGGAGGAGAAAGAAAAAGGTCTTTGCCTCCAGTACAATGTAATCATTTGTAACTTAAATAAAATAGATCCACTGAAAAGAAAGGGCTTCAATAACTCAAATTTTGTACTAGATAGGAGGTTGCATGGTGATTCCTCCAAGGTTACTTTAGTTTCAGGGATGCAATGATTCTGTATTCCCTGATGGATAAGATGAAGTGCCATTAGCAGCAAATTATCCAAGATTCTATGTAAGCACAAAATATTTCATGAATTTAAACTGTAGTGAAATATCTTCTATCCTCACTGGTCTATGAAGGAAAGCTTAAATAAAAATTGTCATTTCTACTAAATGGATTTTGTCCTTTGGATAATGATAAAAGTTCTAAAAATCTGATACACAGAATTGGGAATTTGCAGTAGTTTTGTGAAGCAGTAAAAAGCATAGATTCAAGGGACTATAAATATAGACTAGTTGGTACTATCCTCCCCTCATTGGCTAATAGTATTTATTTTCTGACTCTGAGGAAAATGGTCATGCTGCCCTTAAATAATAAGCACATATTATGTCACTAAGAGTTATTAATTACCCACTTATCAATTTCAAATTTCTTTAGTTATGAAAATGATCTTAACTATAATGTCTCTTGATATCAATGCACACTATCTCAGAGGGGAATTTCTAATTCTTTAAGGAGGATAGCAAAACATTGTCTCACCCAAGCTTGTCAGCTTCTTCACAAGATTACAAAGTTGAGAGCAGTTGAGGCAAGACCTCTCTGGCATGTGATCTGTGGAATCCTTATTCACAAAAGGATTTTCCTGTGATAGGTCAAACACTTTGAGTTGGATTTCAAGAAACTGCAACTCTAAATTCAACATGCAAATAACATATGACAGAGGTCTATCATTTTATGGTAGGATCCTCCAATTTGCTGTATAACTATGAATAAGAAATTTATAAATTTCTGCACAATTTTAGATCTTGGATAAGTGGAAACAGGGATTATAAAGATTATGTTTTTGTTTTGTTTTTGTTTTTGGTACCAGGGATTGAACCTGGGACACCTAACCCCTGAACCACTTTATTTTGATACAGGGTCTCACTAATTTGCTTAGGGCCTTCCTAAGTTGTTGAGGCTGGCTTTGGGCTTGTGATCCTCCTGGCTCAGCCTCCCAGGCCATTGGGATTACAATAGTGCACTACTACACCTGGCTAATATTATGTTGTGTTGTGTTTTGTTTTGTTTTAATATTTGTTTTTTAGGTGTAGTTAGACACAATGCCTTTATTTTATTTACTTATTTTTATGTGGTGTTGAGGATCTAATCCAGAGCCTCTCATGTGCTAGGTGAGCTCTCTACTGCTGAGCTACAACCCCAGCCCCAGATTGTGTTTTTAAATATGTTATCATAGACACCATTTTGATTTAAAAAATTCTGCAATACCTTTTAGAGGTAGGGTATGCAGGAAAGGTATTTCTGGAATCTAACAAAGAAGTGTTTTTAATCTTTGAAAAAATCCAGGCTATATTTTTGAATTCTCAATTCCAATTAAGTCATATTTGGTAAAGCATTTAATGAATATTTATATATAAATTATGATAGCTTGCTGCTTGTTTAAATATATGTTGTGTTTTATATTATTAGTGTTTTGCCAAAAAGTATAGATTACAATTTTTAAAAAGACAAGGTGCTGATGTAAATGTTCCTTTTTGGGGAATAGGTGCTTATATTGTAAATGCCTATAAATTATGCTTTCTAATGTAGGAAATGGAATCCCTATGTCATATATATATATATATATATATATATATATATATATATATATACATATATATGTCAGTTTCATATCAATTACTCCATCAAAAATCTAGATCAGGGGTAACCAATAGAACTTTCTTCAGTTATAGAAATATTCTGTACCTCTTAATTATTGTTTAGGTTCTTAATGGGCAGTGTAAGATAAACCAAGATTTATTATTTGTTTTTTCATTTCCTAAGAGAGTGCCTTAAGTACTTCACCTACTATGACATTTCATATCAACCTAAAAGCAAGGATCAAAACACTTTGGGGAAATATGGAGCCTTATAATGTGATATGGAAAATTAATCAAATGCCATAAACATAGAATCTTAATGATGTACTAATCCCAGATCCATAACACATATTTTTGACTATTTTTATTAATGTATGGATATAGATCAATTTGAAGAATTTCTTCATAGTCTGAGCAAATGAGTTTACACAATTACATATGTAATACAAAATACATTAACAGTTTGAATATATGTCAAAGTGGGGGAGATAGGCAGTGTTAGATCTTTGCCTTTAATAATAGTCCTAGAATGTGCTAAACTGATTTCCCTATGTAAACTTCAACTGTGGATTTAAGAAGCTAATGTATGAGTTTAAGTCTGTTGAGGCAATTATAAATTTCAGATATTTAAATTAATGAGTTTGCATTTTTCATTAATGTTTATATTAAAATTATAAAATTAAAAAGTTGTAGCCCTTAGTCAGGCATGGTGGCACATATCTAAAATCTTAGCCACTCAGGAAGCTGAGTCAGGAAGATCACAATTGGAGGCAAGCCTGGGCAACTTAGTGAGATGCTGTCTCAAAATAAAAATTAAAAAAGACTGGGGGTATATCCCAGTGGTAGAGCACCCTTGGAGCTAATCCCCAAACAAAATTAAAAATAAAGGAATTTTTCAGCCCACTACATTTAATATTGTGTGAACCTGTCAGAAGTGGCACTTTCTTACTTAGGGGCTCTTCTTTTCTTGGTAATTCTTCCTCCTGCAATGATATATGAGAGAAAAGTAGTTGTGTATACGTAAATTCTGGAATTTCTGACCCTTAATAAAAAATCTCTACATGCTTTGTTATTCAATAGAATGTTGGGAAGTGAATTAAAATACTATTTTCTGATATTTCTCTTTCATGCACAATAATATTTTTATTATTAAGGACATAAATGACAAACGTCTGAGAATTGAATAATTTTTACCCATATAAATATGTTTGGTTCTTGATAAGCAAACAGGCCAATGTGACTAATTCAGTCCAAACTAGATGCTGAATATATACCTATGAGAATACTTTAATCAGTAATTGACTCAAAGGGACATATTTAGAATATGTATATTTTAACACCCATTGGTCTGAAATTCAATATGTATTTGCACAACACTTGTCCTGAATACCAGCCAAATTATAACTAACTATAGTTGACTTCCTCTCAGAAAATAGATTTCTTCTTGATAAGTCCTGTTACAATAAAGCTGGGATGGTCAATATTTAATGCTTTAGTTTCTTTAGTTTTAACCCTGCTAGCTGGTTGACTTACTAGAAATTAATATGCCTGTAAAATGAAGCAAAATTACTTGTTTAAGAACATTTATTGGTGTAACACTGGATATTGGATAGAATACCAAACCTCAGGTATGACATTATTACAATGAATTACCTGTCAAGAGTGTGTCTAATAGTTGTTGTAGTATGTGTGAATTATAGCAAGGGATGATGCAAATTTTCAGTGTATGAAAAAAAGACTATAGTAATATTAAAAGATATTTGAAAGTTTAACTCAAATAATATGTTACATTTGTAAGTTACATTCTTTTATTTGGTTAAATTTTTTTCACCGTGTCAAATAATGAAATTACTCAATTTCTGTTCATAAGACTCTGAGAATTTACTAAAGATTATTTGTGTTAAAATATATAAAGCAATTTTAAAATAATTAATCATAAGAATTTCTGTGTGTAAGAAAACGTACTAGTAATGATTTTTAAGGTTAAGAAAGTCAAACCAACTGCAAAATCAAGAGGTTGAAAAATCTGACTTAAGAATTTGCCAATAGTACAAATAAAGTCAGAAAATGATTACTGAGGAGAGAGGAAACTAACATATCTGCTAAAGGAAACATACTGCTCTTCAATAGACAATCATCTTCTCTATAGACAATCATCTTCATTGGTTGATTCAAGCTTATGAAATTAATTTATCAAATGAAGTTGCTGTCTGACTTAGTTATTAATTCTCTGCACCCTTTACATCAATAAAGGTTGTGGAGACATTTCTGATATTATTTAAACTATTTGAACTTTGTTCAGTTCAGAGTATTTATCTTATTGCCTCTCCTTAGAATGCATAGTTGTATAAGAGGACACCTTTGGTGTTACTAATAGTATAATATATTCACTTCTATTCAGGTTTTACAACACCCATCGGTGTAATATTGTGTATTATCTGCTCTTGGACATGATTAATGGCATGATAGCCTGGATACAGTTGAGAGAAAACTACTAAGTATAAAAACATTGGCCTCTAACAATAGTTAGTTCCTTTCCTGTAATTATAACTCAGCAGTAGAATCTTTGCCTAGCATGCAGAGTTGTGGATTCCCAGGTGAAAGAATCCAATGCTACCAGAAAATAAAAATAAAATAGATAAATAAATAAAAGTTTCTGAATATATCATTGTTATTGTTCTTTATTCTGCACTCAGTGTGATCAAGTGTCAAATTCTAAATCGCCTATTCTCTCTCAGTCAGTTCAGGCCTAAGCTTAAACTCAAGTGTATCTTACTTTTGCAGGTTAAATTGGCATAGAGAAATAAACTTTTTCAGTGAGACTGAAATTCCCCATAATCTGGGTGAATTGTTATTTGAAAAGTATTAGGAAAAGCAATTCCCAGCTGGATGCTATGGTGCACACCTGTAATCTCAGCAATATTCCAAGTTCAAGGCCAGCCTCAGAACTTAGTGAGTCCCTAAACAAGTTAGCCAGAGTCTATATCAAGAAAAAAAATAAAATTAAATAAAAAGGGCAGGGACGGAGCTCAGTGGTAAAGCACCCCAGTCTTCAATCCTCAGTACCAAGATATTATGACAAATAAGAGGTAACTAAATATTATTATCTTAAGAAAAGTTTCCTTTATAGTTGTAGATTTATGTGGACTATAGTTTTTAAACACATGTACTGTGCAGATTATGACAAAACATTTAGAAAATTTAAGACAGCTAAGAGAAATGCCACAGCCACGAAAAGTTTAGAAACATTACATGCCCATTCTCTTTTTTCACAACAACATTCTCTAGTGGAAAACAAACCCTTTAAGTAGTTGTTTTAGCACACACAAGCCATTCCTTCACTTTCGTTTTCTTTTTCTAGCAAGTTTTAATTTTGGTATACCTCAAAACAGAAAACAAATGAGTATTTTCTCCCAATTTTCAAAAATTAGTAAACCCTTAGAATACTCATTATAAGTAGGTAAAAATATTCACCCACACATCATTACAAAGACAGATAATTTATATCAGATTTGAACAGTATCCTTTCTTTTCCAGTCTTATTTTACGGTCCTGTTGTCTCCCAACTTTATAGTTCTTTAAATTATTCACATATTATATACTAAATTATTCAAGGAAAAACTCCTAGGCACTTCACTTACTGAATGTCACTTTCATATAAACAAATCTTATTTTACTTTTCTTTTGGGGATTAAACATTCCATTTAGTTGTCCTATATCTTATTTATCTTGACCATTCATTTTAATGTGAATCTAATCTAAATACATGTAATCAATATGTATATAATATGTGCATCGTGCAATATCAAGATGTTTTAAAGAATGCTAGAGATCTGATGATAAAATAAGATTTTGGGGAGAAAAAGTGTTCTGAGTCTCAAAAATTCAGCTTCTATATGTTTCTTTACCTTGGGGGATGAAGTTCTGCAAAATAACTATGACATTTAAATATGCTGCAATAAGCATTTTTAAACAGAGCAAATAGAAAGAGAAGTGGTGGGAA